CGTAGAAAGTTAATTGCACATTCTGAAACTTGTTAGATTTTCTGATTCTTAGGCTCTGTTTCCATAAAATGTCTAACGATCTGTGGCGCTCCTTGGTAAAATCGGAAGATAAGCTGGTGTCTGTGGCGTGACGAAGATCCAAATCGTATGGAAACCAGAGAAAAAGATCTTCGTTCTGCATACTAATGAACCTGACTGTTGAAATTATTCAAAACGGATGAACGCGGGAAATTAACAGGGTAAAAGTTGTTATTCGTATCCAAATTCAAGTGCACTGGCGAATAAAAATTTCCCTTGGAGGCTGCTAGTGCCTTAGTGATTCGCAATCAATCTTGCCAGGTGCTAAGAGTCCAATCAGAGGGTGTCTAACATCTACATATATATTACAGCTCTACTATCCAAGCAAAAGGTGGTCCTTTTTATCCGTGCCAGCTGCTTTTAATTAGCTATCTTTATTTTGCTGTACGACTTCATTGACCAAGAATCGAAGCTAGTCTGAGCAACCACGACGACAGCGATTGCAGTGAAAACGTCTCTAAGGAAATGAATTTGCTTTCTTTCAAATTCCTGAAGTTGAAGTCTTAAGGACTCTGTCCAGTTTCAAAGGAGATGAAAGAAAGGAAAATTTGGTTTGTTGTGTGTCACATCTTCCGTAACACGTTGTCCCTTGCATAATAAAGTAAAATCATAATACGAACCTTTCCACAACGACGACGGACTCATTTGGGATAGGGGAAACTTTCCTTGCTGTTACTTAAAACTAAATTAAAAAGAGCACATACCAGTCAGAATTATTTACACTCTTGAAATCAGTGAAAACATCTGGAAATCCTTGCCGCCTTTCCTCTTAAACCAATAATAAATTGTAAGCAGGTATTATATTATAGTACATGTATTTGCCTAAAATTCTAGGCAAAAGAAAAACGATAAAGCGGGCAACAAAACTGGCTATTAAAACCGATTTTCGGGCTTTTGCGCATGCACGAAAAAAAAACAAACAAACAAACAAACAAAATTGCTGTCTAATACATCCAATTAGCAGAACATTATGCCTTTGAGTGTTGGAAATATCTTTTGTCATTCCCATGCTACAATGTAACTGACCGAAAAAAGATCCAAAAAGGAAGATTTGGTCAAAAGTTTGGTTTTTCCTTAACAAATGGCCATCGACAAAGGGTTAAGCCAAAGAAAATGCTTGTGTTATTGTTTTCTGTGACCAACGAGGAGACACCTTACGAGCAGCTGCTTCATTTGCGTAAAAATGTGTGAAAGATAGCATTCCATTTGCCCATTCCTTGGGGAAGGAAAGGACTGGTTCCGGAAAAAAAAAGTTGGTTCCGGGAAATGTACTCTCTTATAAGGGTCAAATACTGAATCTGACCACGCCCGGATTGGTGACCCATAGGGGTTTTTAGAAACCTACTTTTCCGACAAGCGGAGGATTCCCTAGTATTTTTCAAACGGTACTGGAATGGAGTCACTACTCGACAGTATTTTTCGTCGGCTTCACTAGCGCGGATTTTAAATGAACAAGGATCGCAAACTAATATGCAGCAGAACGTAAGATCTAAAGAAGACCTGATCGGGAATGTATACAAACCAACACATTGAAATCAGCAAAGCTGATCGTTTGCCCCATATAGGGGAATCCAAAACCGAATCCAAGATCTAGACAGTATTGGATTAATTGTGGATCCACTTTATGAATTCCTTGTTCCATTTACTGGATTTCGAGTTCTTTTTCATTTGAACTTGGATCTGGATTCCTCATGCTTTATTTTTGATTCCGAAGCCAAGGATTCCAGAATTCCAAAGCAAAAATTGGCTGGATTCTGGAATCCTTTACATGGCGCGATGATCGCATTACGTAAAAATTAACTTTGCAAGACATCAACACGACACCGATAGAGCCCAAAACAGAGCGCGGGGTTGAAGCCGTCAACAGTTTTTTCGCCATTATTGTGGCTCTTGAGCATGGCACAACAACAGACAAAACAAAGAAGCTCTACTGATAAAATGCTCGTTCCCGAAAGGACGACAGGACTGCGGTCTCCTGTAGACCACGTGACACGCGTCACAACCTTGCCACAGGACATCACAAGACCTCAACACACGCCCGATCACAACAATATATTATATGAAATGTCTAATCCTCCTGCTACTAAAGCGATGTTGCCGTTATTCATTATAATCTCGTCGCGCGCGAAGCGCGCGTGTATCACACTAGCATCGCGAAGGCCAGCGTGATTTTCTCTTGGTTATAAATCTATCGAGTTTGGTTGGTGTCCGTCTTGACGTCATCCAGAGTAGTGCATTATGGGTTTCCAGGCAACGGATTGCCATCGATGACAAAGCTCCGGGTTTTATTCATGAAGACGGATTACCACCCAATATCTCAGGCAAATGAAAGAGGACAGCAAACTTAACAACGGTGGATTCAACAAGTGGCTGGAAATCCTCGCGGGGAAAGATTTACAAACAAAACTCCGCAAGAGCGAGAACGTCGACTTTAAATTCAGCAAGAGAAACGGCACAGCAATTGAAACACTACTAGAGACAGAGGCTATACAACGACCATGAATATGTAAAGATGCAGCAACAAAATACTACAATTACACTGCAAACAAAGCCGACGAAGAGAGGGAACACCGACTGGCGACGTTTCAGCAAAATGCGGTCAATAGAATAGACATTTTTACCGATACGGTGGCCATATTGATTTAATTCGATTTAAGGAGGATTATAGGATGCCCAGGGGGCATGAGCACATTTCGTTTGTATTTTCGAGTGCTTTTCGGGACATTGTTTCTTAAAGTGTTCTTAAAATAAGATTGTAATGGGAAAAAAGATCCTTGTGGCGTGTTTAGATGTAATGGGTGTAATAATGACCGCCTTTTGCTAGCTTAGTATTAGAAATATGGTCTCACACACTGTATATTTCTCGGGAAAAAGGCGATCATCATTACATCCAAACAGGCCGCAAGGATCTTTCTTCCCATTACAATCTTACTCTAAGAAAACTTTAAGAAAAAATGTCCCGAAAAGCGCTTGAATATACAAACGAAAATGTGTTCATGCCCCCTGGGCACCCTATAATACTCCTTAAATCGAATTAATTCAATATGGCCGTCGTATCGGTATGTAAAAAGGTCTATTCGCAACGAAACCGGAGAGAGGCAAGTTTACAGTCAAAACGATAGGAAGCAAGAATTACCCCATCTGTAAAATCGACATGAGGGGTATCTTTTCGACGGACTGAGGACAGCCGATCAGCCTTTTAACCGTTTTACAGTACTGTAAGCTTTTATATTATACGATGAACAGTTTAGAACAACACCGATAATGTGTGACATGTAGGGAAGCGTTACAATTGTAAACAAAATCCTTACTGAACAAAATTTTTCGTTTAAGCTTACAATTTTCATTCAGTTTCCTTCACAAGTAAAATTTAAGCAATAGAAAACGTTTTCCGTGTTTGCATAGCCTGATATAAACCATGGATAATAAGTCTTTCTATTATCCATGCATACTCTCATGCAAACATCCCTCTCGGCCAATCAGAGCGCGCGTACTATCTTAGTTATTTTATAAATATCTTTTTAAGTCAAACATGACAAAAATTTTGTTATTGCTGGCCTCCTATATTTTCGTTCCTATTATATCATTCGAAAATAACATCTGTATTTCGGATATCCTCAGAATATTAGTGTGTGACATGGTATGCCAGGCCAGGAACCTTAATTCCTTTCGCTGTTAGGGAAAATTCACTCATAAAATTTCACACTTTTAAAGAAGTCAGAGAGAGGTGACATATTTAGAGAAATAAAACATTTGTTCCATTGGCAGAAGAAGATTGTTTCAAGAAATTAAACGACATGCAAGCAGATATTTACATAGGGTTTCCCATAAGATCAATCCATCCTGCACTTAACTTAGCCTTACATTCACGATAAATGCATGTAATACAGGGAAAGTGTTCATTTGAGACCAATGGAGAAACTGATCATCTCCAACATGACTTGTTTGCGGACATTTCATACAAATTCATTCTTGCATAGGGATTTGTTTCTTATGTATGTACACGAATAACTATGAACACTTGCCAAAGTGGTAAAAAATTTGTACTTTTTACATGGATTCAGTGCTTTATGGTGAATGCCCACACATTCAATAATCATAAGTCATGATCACTTTAGTAATTCTCATGAAATGCATTCTTAATGACATTGCTACTTGTAATTTTCTATTTCAGTGATTATGTTTGCACTTTACTGTTACAAACAATAGTTGTCAAGTGTGATTGTGTATATTGTTGGTTTTCACATGATGTCTCTAAAATTCAAACTAAAAAACTATCGATCCTACCGAGATTTTACTTTCACGATGCATAAGAGCAGCTGAAAACTAATTTTCATACAAATTTTCGCTTCAAAAGGGTTCTTGGTTTTGTGATAGACTGTACGCTTGAATTTCTAAGCTTTTGCGTGACGCGACATTTACATGACGGCCAAGAGAGCTATGATGTGGGTTAAAAAATGACTTATTTCAGGAAATTATGCTATTTAAACAATTCATATATTAGAAACAGAATTACTTTAATATTTATGAGTTTCTCGAAGAATAAATTCACGCTTTTGTAGCAAAACTCGGTAACAGATGTTTCTGTTGGTTTTCGTCCGTGTAACTGAAATTTCGGTACATGTACGTGATGTTTTACGTGATGTAGGTTCTTACCGAAAGAGTCACCGAAAGCCTCCTTCTCAAGCGCTTCGTTTTTCGCGTCGTAGAGGCGAGCGCGAAACGCGAGTGACTGGTGATGAACCGCAAGGGACCATGGGAAGGATAAAGACGGCAGGCGTAGCGACGTCTCCCCCGTTGTCTCCTTCCCGCCTTCCTTTGCGCACACATTTTCATCGAGAGAGAGACGTCTGGGTACGAGGCAGGAAAGACAAACAAAAAATTAGTTCCAGTCCTTTTACGTTCTCGCGGTCAAAACAAATATGGCGGCCGACGAAGTTGTTCGATGGAGTACAGTTGTTGGGGAATATGCAGTTCTCCTGACTGAGATGGGTTCAATGGAGGATCTGTCTACCCCTATAAAGGCTTATCCCAGAATAAAGGTGGGAATAGATAACAATTATTGACTTATTTAGCTCTAGTTGCGCTGATGTTTTTGCAAATTCAAACGAAACTTAGGCTTACATTGTAAGCTTACAAGTGCAGTGTACCTTGTAGCTTTTAGCTTACTACAAAAAAAGGGCCTGCAAGGTTTACCGTAAAAGAACCTCCTAACAATTAATCCAGTCGATCCATCAAGAAAATCTGAAGAGCAGATGGAAAGAGCTGTCCTGATCGAACACCACTGATAAGCGAAGAAATCAGTTCAGTTAATTAATAGATGATGGCTGTTCGGTACTTTTGGATTCTGCATGTATCGGTTTAGTACAGGTAATCACATGATTTCGAGTGCAATTTGGAATAAATAAGCACGAGTAAATTTTTCAAAGAGCAACAAAATTGCACAAGCCAGTAGGGCGAGTGCAATTTGTGGTCTTTGAAAAAATTTACGAGTGCTTATTTATTCCAAATTACATGAGAAAAATCATGTGATTACCTATTAATAATATTCATGAAAACATTGCGAGATAGCTTTAAAATCACTTTGATAGCGAGTCAACACGCATAAACCACGTGCAAAAATAAATTATTCAAATGCTGCAAATATCATCACACGTACAGTGAAAACAACATTTTGCTCGATGTTTTTAAAGTTTGCAAGCTGCAGAAACGGGCTGAACAGTTCATGGAATTGTTCAATGTGTTTGAATTAAAGATTCTGGGTTATTACCTCGAGTTTTCGGCTCCTCCAGAGAATTTCTTCTACCTCCTCTGATACTTGCCGAGCTTAGTTTGGCTGCTTACCACGGCCAGCCAAGCGAAGCTGTTTCACTTTGTCCTCCAACACCTCTTTGGACGAACTAAATTCTTGGTCACATACAATGGACAGGGTGCAGCCTTTGTTCTTTAAGTGTCTATCAAGCAATGCCATCATTACTTAAAGGCTTTCTGGTTCATAATCTTCACCTTTTTTATTGTTTGTCTTTGGCGTAGAAATGCTCGAGCAAAGTGTTAAGCTCAGCCGGCTCGTAATTTTCTATTTCATGAGTAATTTCCTTATCTACACACCAATTCTTTGAAACAGAGAGCCAAAAACCAGTGCTTTTCGCAGTGTTTTCGTTTTTAGAGCAGTTTTCAGCTCCTCTACAGTTGTTTCGGTCGCAAAAGCAAATGTGCCGCAAATGCCAACCATTGCGGTTTTTGCTCGAAACTGGTCCGGAGCGGATCCAAATTTTGCTCCATTTAGATGGCACATTTGATTGGCTCTCAGTGAGTTCCTTTGTTTATTAGCCAATCAGAATGTCACGTTTGTGACTCTTTTCTGCACTAAATTACCTTTTTTCTGCACCGTGTTACCTAAGAACTACATTTCTCTTAGCCAATCACAATCGAGAAATTTTTTCATGTATATTATTATACAAGAAACAGTACAGTACAAAATGAGACATGACTGTTTTTCTTTTGTCTTTTACCTTTTGTTATTGCATTTAGATATTTGAGTGAGTAATATATTTATTAATACTTGGTGCTCCGGCACAGTGCCCAAGTACAGTAATTATTAGTCTCTAATGTGAACACCCCCCATTTCAAGATTATTACAAAGTGCAACAGCTTATTTTATTACAAAGTGCGATGGTCTGTTATTAGAAAGTGCGACAGCTTTTTTATTACAGTGTGACAAGATAGTACATTGTAATACAAAGTGTGACAATTTTATTAGAAAGTGCGACAGAACAGACACCACACTACAGGTGCATTGTGTGTATTATCGATGAGAGCTTAGAACTTTTTGAGGAAGTGGATTAAAATCCTAAAATAAAGCACAGAAACACTCAAAATTCAATTTTATTTGAATAAAATTTTGGTGACCCATACAAGAGATATGGCCCCAGTTGTTCAAAAGCTGGATAGCACTATCCACCAGATAAATCACTATCCAATGGATAAATATTGGGGAAACCAATGTTATTGCACTATCCAGTGGATATAGTGATAAATCCAGTGGATAGTGCTATCCACCTTTTTAACAACTGGGACCAGGTGATTTATGCTGCATCCAAGAGAGATTGCTATAATTATCATAATATGGGATGTGCAATATTTGCTGAAGAAAAAACAAAATGGAGTCCACGATGGCATGTTCTGGACCATTCTTTTATTTAACAATCAGCACAAAATAGTTGAACCTAGATGTTTAAAGTACTATTGTCTTGATTCTTGTAGTACACCTGTATGACAGTTTCCAGGAAATATGTGGCAATGGGATCCAGCACTGGAGGGCTTTACGTATTTGACAGGAAGACACTTCATCATCCCAGGTTCATAAGTAACAAGGTACACTTACAATGTCAGACTATGCTGTCAGGGAAATTGTAGAGAGGAAAGACTCTCTGAACCTATGAAATCCAGGGTGTACAACACACAAATTTTTGTGCAAAAAATAAAAACTTCCTTTAGTTAATAATTACCACTTAAGGGTAAAGTAAGTCACCAGGCTAGGGATCAGTTGATACTGTGAGATCACATCCCCACAGACTACTTAAATATGTATGCTTGGTGCATTAGCTCATTCCAACAGGTCTTTCATGTGCAAATGACAGGGTTAATATTGCCATTCTGTTGAATTACATGTACAGATCAGACATATCTGCATTTGTACTACTACATGACAAATTTCTGCAATTTGATTGGCTTAGAGCAGTGGCATTTTAGCTTAATTTGAAATACCTACATGTGAAAATTACAAACCTTTTAGGGGTAGTAGTATAAACAAATAATAGCATGATTTGTATGTGATATTTGGCATAAATACCACTTGTGATATTTCAAAATTGTCTCAAATTTCACTCGTCTAATGGCTCGTTAAATTACATATAACAATTTTGAAATATCACTCGAGGTATTTATGCCAAATATCACTACAAATCATGCTATTACCTATACAAATTACACTCCTTCAAATACTTGCCCTACTTTAAAAATTAGATTCCAAATTGAAATGCCTAAGAAAACCTGTGTTCTGTTTATTTTTTGTGATTATATTGTTATCTGTTATGATTAGAGAAAATTTAAAAAAAAAAAGTGTACATATAGAGTGCATCTTTCAGTGCTGTTCAAAGTAGATTTCACATCTCTGGTGGATTAGCTTATGTTATTTCCCATAGGATGATAGATTAAATAACTCACATATGTTTTGTTTGGTACATGTAGGATGGTCCAGTACATGCAGTTTGCTTTGCACAACATCGCAGTCTTTTAGCAGTAGCAACCAGGTAGATCATTGTAAATTTTGTTAGCTTTAAGGGGAATAATTTGTTTTTGTTTTTATTATTTTTTTGTTTTTATTATTTTTTTACTAAACTGTGTGTCTTTTACTGTTTTCTGCTAAGTGTTGGCATTGTCCTGATATGGGAAGTCAGCACAAGACACAGAGAGAAACCAAAGGTCTGTCAGATACAGTGTAATTTATATGGCATTAAAGTAATACATGCATTATTATGATTTGTGTGGTTAGTTGCATTCTATAAATTTGTAACATGAAGATTAGAGGATATTATTTTAAGTGCATTTTCTAGTTAAGGACAATGAAATAATTTTACTGGGTATTACCACTGTGTAATGTGTGGATGTTTAACTATACAGTTAAGCCTCTACTAATGGTCACCTTTCCACAGTCTTGGCCTACTATTTGTCCTGGCAGACAATCCATACATGTACATGTATTCACTCTTATGTTAACCATTCTACAGAGGCCACCCCTGTACACTAACAACAGCAACTTAAGTGTGTCCACACAGAGATCTATCTTTGTGACAATAGGACAATCCGGCATGACTTTTGGAGGGCATATAGTTTATTTAATTGAGGCCTGAGTAGCATCATTTGTGCCCAAGTGGAGCATTGGGTGCAAATTATGGTACAAGGGACACAAATAAACTATATGCACGACAAGTCATGTGTTTATCATTATTATCAATACACAAGGCCAAATCGTACAAATTTATTTCATAAGGAAAGATTGTTAACATGAAATCATGTTGCAGGCAGCAAATTCCATTTACCGCCGGCACCGGCTTTGCTGTTTGGCCTGTGAAAAGGAGCATTTTAGAGAGGGCAGTTTGTCATTTGGCTGCGTGTAGTGATAGTAATGGCCAATGACAGTACTTCCCTGCAGTGGAATGAGTTGTCTAATATTTTCCACTATGCTTATTATGTAGCTTATCCGTCGATCAGAAGAACACAAAAATAGTACTGTTACTGCACTGTGCTGGGATGATGAGGAGGGTCGTCTTTTTGCTGGTGACTCAAAGGGTGTGGTCAGTGTTGTACATGTCCCCCCAGCTAACAAGGTAATCTTCCTTTTTGTTTGTCGACTGACACAACAGTGTTGCACTTTCTGGAAATTCCGAAGGCATTGTTGAGTTTTGAACATTAGTTTAGAATGTATTAGGCTCTTTGCATGACTTGATCACGTGATCAACTTTCGGTCAACACGAAAACAGTTCACTTTTGAAATTTTTTGTTAGCACAAGCTTAAAGAGCATATTAAAATTAGGTAACCTGCGAATTTTCAGCCATATATCTCAAAAGTAGCAATTGCAATGGCCGACGAAAGTTGGAAGCATTTTTATGAGAAAAACAACTTTTGCCATCCAGTCACGCTTGCAATGGTTTTCCATACAAATCCTTGTAATTTTGAAATTTTCAAAACTGTCATGAAATATTTCCTTAAGCATTACAGGGCTCGGATCTCCTTTTAATTCATAAAGGCAATTTGAGCCCTTAAATGCGTAAAAGAAAGATTTAAAGACAGTTTAAAAATTTGAGAATTTACAAAGATTTGTATGGAAGTCTGTCAAATACATATAATTGTACTTGGAAGAGTGCTTTTTGGTAATATGTTTCTTATGATAGCCATCAAAAGTTCAAAGTGCCCTTATGAATAAACATTCACCAAGAATAAAGTACCAGAAATATGGATAACCCAGCAAAACACGAAGCACTATGTCTTTCTTGATATAATGAGATTACTGCTTTTAATCCTGGACAACATAACAGTGCACGTTAACTAACAGCTATGTTTGGTAGAAGCTTTTGTGGAATATTTCCCTGCAAGTCTACTGGAGCAGACAAATATAACTAAATGTTATAATTGCATATCAAAAACTTTCAAATGATCTGAACAGTATTGTTTTCTTTTCAGTCATCTTATTCTGTAAACAAAAGCCTACCTCTTCTTCACAACAGTAGCATTGTAGCAAAGGCACACACTGGAATTGTCCAGTTGGATTGTGCTGGTGATAAGCTTCTGGTGTCGACTATGAGCAAGAGTGCTGTTGTGGACTTAAAAAGGTTTGTTTCTCAGCTTAGCATCAAAGAAAAACTGCAAATGCCACTTTTCATACTGCAAGTTCACCATAGTTGCTGTGAACGTTGCAAAAATGTGAATGCCAAAAATTTTATGGTCTGGATAAAAATTGTTATTTTGTTGCAAGCAGAAAGCCAATAAGGCTTGAGAAAACTAAACTGCAAACAAGAACTTTAATTACAGGGTAACTTGTAGTTTTGTTGTTTGCTTGCGTGTCCTGAGTTTAGTAATATAATGTTGTGATTTGTCACTACACATTCAATCAACGTTCCTGAAATTTTTCAGGTGCATGTTCATGGTTTTGGAGTTTGACAATAAATCTGTCAGCAGAATCTAAAAATTGAATTTATTTCACTGTCAGTGATATTGCTTTATACTCAAATCTAGCCTAATTATTGTTTTAGTTGATTTAATTGATGTTGAGATGAACTTCTTCTGAGGTATGGTGGTTCATCAGCTGCCCAGGCAACTAAACCACACAAGCATAGTGTATCTACAGATTGCATAGAGACTGAAGATGATAATTATCTATTTTTAATTAATTTTATTAAGAACTTTATCTTTTGCTCGCGAAAGCGCCATGCTGAAACTCGAAAAGAGAGGAGAAAAATGGGGGGAGTCAAGGGTTACCATTTTTACTCTCCCTAATCTTCCTCAGTCATAACATCAAAGATGGCAGTTTCAACAGTACGAATATAAACAACCAGCTTTCGCCTGCCCAAAATACATCTGCACTGCAGGCTACATAATATAAAATTAGGATAATCAAGCTATCTAACAAAACTGTGGTTGGGATCATGTTAATTTAGTTAAGAATGCATATGATACTTAGTGAATGTTTTTGTGAGAAAATTCAGTCCGTGGATTGTACCTTGGTGTCTGTTATTTATGAGTTTTGTTTGAGCCATAATTTGACAAAACACTTCATTCCTCATTTCTCTATCTTATAGTGAAAGTATATGTAAACTAGTTTACATACATAAACATTAGTGCATTACACTCCACTACAGTACTTGTATACACTACATATGTAGTGTATACAAGTACTGTAGTGGAGTGTAATGCACTAATGTTTACTCTTACGATGGATGTATTAGTTAAGGGCAGAGAGGGCATGAGGCCTGATGGTCATCAGTTTAACCCTTAGAAGAAGTTTGATTGTTTTGTTAACAGAAACAAACAACAACAACAACAAACCTTATGTAATCTATTACTCTTGTTTATCTTTTAGTCTGGATTGCGTGCCTGTTGGTGTTAAGCTTAGGTAGGTCCTGATAGTGCCACTTTTTTGGGAAAGCAAATCATTGAAACTTAAGATCGCAACAAGACAGTCTATATCTTGAACTGCATTACGATTTCGCAACATCGTCATGGAGATCCCATTATGTAGACTATTAGCAGTCATTTACAAGGTTTTGCTCTTTCAGGGATGGTTTCTTTGGTAGCTGTTTTTTAAAGGAGAGTATTTCAGACAATCCCACCATTTACTCAGCTCGACCTGGATCAAGGCTGTGGGAGGTGAGTCTACTTCCCTAAAACGTTTTTGTTTAATTCGATTGAAATAGAGGATATACCAATGCAAATGTAAGATACGAAGGAAGACGCCGGGCAGCTGGTTCTGCTAAACCTCAAGTACGGCTAGAATTTTGGGGGAAAGGGGAAGGGAGAAATCGCTTACATTTAGAAAGAAACAAAAGGACGTTGGGAGCTAGGAAAATCAAAAAATGATGGGAAACGGAGCAGAAGAGTTTGAGTAGGCTTGGTATCGAGAGCGATCGAATACTCAGTAGTCATTGGATTCGGCTTTCGTATGATGATCGTGCGAAAGCAGACTTCTTTCTATTAAATTTTGTTTCTGTTTAGTTCTTGTTTTCATTTGTCTGTTCCTTTAGTCTAGCCGAATTCTTTAAAGAGCCACTTAAATAGCAGTTGTCATCCACTGAGTTGTATTTTGCTTAGTTCAGCCATTTCTTCTTCGCAAAACGTGAAAAATTTTCAGCCATTTTCTCCTGCTCTACCAAGACACTGAGCAAACGCCTCTTCGTCCCCAGTGCTTCTCGGTTACCGTCGCTTTTTTGGCTTTGTGTTTACTATTGACGTAATTTTACCGGATGCCGTAAACGTCTTACAAATAAATTATATTACACTTTTATGCGCAAAAGTGGATTTCCCAGAAAACTTTGTATCTGCTTAACCCATTCGCGGGATGTTTTGCTGAAAAACGCTTTTTGAAGCTAACGGAGCCATTTTCCGGTCACTGTATGGCTATGAAGAGCCAAAGTTTCTTTTGCTACTTCACTACGTGTTGTTATTTTTTTTTTACAGGCCAGCACTGATGGTCAAGTCATGTCCACTCAGCAGTACAAGAAATCATTAGCAACTCCACCAGTCACCATTTTGGGACATGGGTGAGTTAGAAATGTTTGTAGCTTGCGTAGAATGGCGGTTTTGGTCGGGCGCGCAAACAAACCACGCTGGGCGAGGGCAGAGAAACTGAGAGGAGATTGGGTCGCGCGCGCTTTTGCGGCTTCGCCTGCTCAGTAGTGCGCCCGACAAAACCACCATGCTACGCAGGCTAAAATGTTTGGCAAGTATGTTACATTCATTTTTCTTAAAATTTAGTTTAACATTAGGTGAGATCGACCTTTTATGATAAAAACACAATGCACAGGCTATTTTTTTGCCGCGTCCCCAGAGATAATACGCGTAGTTGCATATACCTAGTTAAACAAAAGTTGCTTCGACAACTGGGCGTTTGCAAAAAGAGATCACGTAGCAATGATCTGCCTGAGCAAGCGCCAAGCAATAGCTTGTCACTGCACAATTCGTTTATCCAAAGCAACCTTTATTGAATAAACTACATACAAGTACAACTCACTTTTACTCTGAAGATGACGATCACCGCACAAGTTGAATAACCGTCCATCAGTTTCTTGCGTCCACAGTAGTCTTGTTCAAGACTGCACTAACCTGGATCGACAATCATATTTCACCTTCATGTACTTATTATGAAATGTCACGTTCATATCCTTAACAGTACATTGCACCATGGATCAGTGATTTTCCACTAACCGAGCATTTTGTTTTGCAGGCGCAGTGCCGCTGAGCCCGTAGCAGAGGGAGATTTTCCACCTCAATCTGTTAATTTTGCCAAGTTGCTGCTTGTCAGGTATAAGGCTACATTCCTATTTATCCATTGTGTCAGGGTTTGCGGTAGCATTTGGAATTACCGAATGCAGAGGTTCAGCTGGCGGACTTGCACAGATGCACCTTGCTAGTTGTAAACAATGTGCACAACTAGTGATTTATATGTGAAATAGGTAAACCTTCTCTTACCAACATCTCCACAGTGTGGACACTAATCTGTTAAGGACAGTTTTGTAAGTACACATTTCATCCACCGAAATGGGGGTTTAATTAACTAACACGGGCAACGCCAAGGTATGTTCGGTCTACCGCTGTCAGGGCTGTCAGTAAGATTTCGAGTTGCCCAGTACATGTTGTTACGCCGCAAAATGTAACAATTGACGCAAAATGTAACATTAACGCGAAATGTAACAACTTTTGACGCGAAATGTAACATTAACCCGAAATGTAACCACTTTTGACGCAAAATGTAACAACTTTTTAACGAGAAATGTAACAGCTTTTTGACGCAAAATGAAACAATATTTTTAACGCGAAATGTAACAAGCAAAATGTTACAGCCTTGAAATAACTGAGAGACGTGGACATGAGCCTTGTTGATAAAGTGTAAATTGTCTGGTGGTTACAAAAACAGTTTATTCATAAAGTTTTCTTATAATGTCAAATAAACTTACAAAAGGTCGTAAAACAGGTGATAAAGATACAAGTCATGTATAACCTTGGAATAGCAGTATGGACAATAACAACAACGCTAACTTATTAAACATAACGTGTGGAAAAATATCCCAAGCTATGCGAAAAGAATATGACTAGAAATGCGAACAATAACACCGTAGGAAACACGCACCAATCAGCAATTGAAATGAAAGTCAAAAGTAAAAGTTAAGAAAGGTAATCTTTCAAAAGAAAATTTTGAACGTAGTCAATAAGATAGATATGAAATTTCTCATTTCTTACCGGACTTCCAGTAAATGTTAGAAATTTCATACCAACCCTGTCCTACTGCCTTAAAGCTTAACCATGCCAACGCCCATTTAACACTGTTGATTAACTCACGCAGTCGGATGACTGCTCAGGTACACTTTCCTTTTAGGGAAAAGGGGAGGAGGTGGCTAAAAACAGACGACGTCGGATATAAACAGAAAGCGTCTTCACTCGACGAAAGTGTGAAAAGAATGATCAGCAATCGATACTCGCCTCGATTTCATACGGGCTCAACTCCCTAGAGGGAGTATGCTAAAAATGTACCATCCTAACCCATCTAATACGTCCTGGACGTTGTAACGCCGACTTTCTTTTCAGCGTCACACATATGTACAGAAAGATATACTAAACAACAATTCGTTCGACTGTTTCAGGATTTAGTTACTATTATCGAAAAACGTTTTGTAAGTTTATTTGACATTATAAGAAAACTTTATAAATAAACTGTTTTTGTAACCACCAGACAATTTACACTTTATCTACGAAGCTCATGTCCAAGTCTCTCAGTTATTTCAAGGCTGTAACATTTTGCTTGTTACGTTTCGCGTTAAAAATATTGTTTCATTTTGCGTCAAAAAGTTGTTACATTTTGCGTCAAAAGTTGTTACATTTCGGGTTAATGTTACATTTCGCGTCAAAAGTTGTTACATTTCGCGTTAATGTTACATTTTGCGTCAATTGTTACATTTTGCGGCGTAACACATGTTCAATTTGTAGGTGAGGAATTGAAAATAAATTTTCCGTTTGTTTCCTTCGAAAGTAGCCAGGGGACATGCTCATAGTAGCCGGGGGAAATCCCTGGCGCACAGCCTTTAGTGACAGCCCTGGCTATGCTCAAACCACGAAGAGGATAATTGTTTCATCATTTACCTCGGACAAACAAAAAATAAAAATGTGGTCGAACTCAATCAAGGAGATATTACGCGATTTAAATGATAATTATTGTCCTGACGCAGGATTCGCAAGTAAACTGTTTATGCATGGTTCAATTTGACCTTTTTCCATCGCCGCTCCGGGCAACCTCCGGGACAAGTCAAGCCCCTCGGGCCCGGGGGTGGGGAATTGTTTGAAGCGGTCCAGTCCCGGAAGTAATGGGGTGGGGCAAAAATATCTTCTCTTTGATTTTGCGAAGTAAGTGCCATTTTTCGCCGCTCGAAAAGTGCCATTTTTCCCTTGCGGCTTCGCCGCAACAAAGTAGACCGGGCATAAGCATCCCGGCAGTTACGCAGGCTAATAAAGTCTGTATTTGAAGATGCTTTTTTAAATTTCAAGCGAATGTGCGTATGATGCCTACTCGAATGGTTTTATGTTGCAAAAGAAAGAATTAAAATAAATATTTCTTTGATCAGCCTAGCTTTAATAATAAGTCAACTTAAATAGACTGTACATGAAAACGGATACAAGGCTTTTAATGTATGTAAACAGAGATGCAGTCCGGTGTTCTTTAATATGAAGTGTTCTACCAAGGAGACGCTTCAGAGTTTTTTTCTTCCTTTTTCGTTTTAATTACATTATGGCATGTATTACCCTTCTCTCATAATTTTTAGAAAACGTTTATAAAAGTTAAGAAAGCGTCTCGTTTTGCTATTGTACGGAAATCAATATTGCTCTTAAAAAGGTGGAGGCAGGGGTGGGGAATGGTCTCTTTCTGCGTGCCCGGGGGGGGGGGGGGAGGCCAAAGAAAGAAAAAATTTCAAAATCCCTTTTGTAAGAATAGGTTGTAAAAGTAAATAAGGGGGCTTTTTGTGTGTTGGTACGGAAATCAATTTGGCTCTTAAAAAGGGGGGGGGGGGGGGGGGGTTTGGTCTCTTGCGGGGTCCCGGGGGGGGGGGGAAGACCACCAAGAAAGAAAAAACTTGCAAATCCCCGGCGGTATTTCAGGGGGGGTGGTTACAGGCCAATTTTAACCATGTATTACTGCCAAGTTTTTACTCCAAAATTTTCATTTAGTTGACTCAACAATTCAAATGCGCTCAAGGTCGACTTTATTCATCTGCAAAGTGATAGGTTTTGGTTTCAACTTTGCTTGAACATGAAGTCCGACTTCAGTTCTGATTTCGTCAGACATGGACCAATCTTAGTGATCCGTAGCATGCGAACGGCAGACGTATTTCCGGTCGTCGCTTCTCTCCCTCCGAAAATTAATTTTCGGAGGGAGAGAAGCGACGACCGGAAATACGTCTGCCGTTCGCAGGTTAAGTGATCCGTGACCAACTGTAAAAATGCCTGAAATGCGTGCAATTCCACAATTGGTTTTGGCTTCATTGAATTCTATTCCTACTCCTATACCTATAATCAATCCTAGGGCCAATGCTTGTCATGAGAAAGAACAATGCTTTTTGATAAAATTGTGAGCGGCTTTATATCTTGCATTTATTATTTACTGCTGACAACCCGATAATTAAATGGTAAAAATGGTAAATAAAGTGATAACGTTCTATTGAATCTTCAATTTTCATTAGACACTAAGATTTAGGGGATCCTTTTGTATTTCATTGGAATCAACACTAGACATATTTCAAGTAAATTTTAGGCATTTTTTTAACCTTATTACATTGTGATGAACATAAAGGTAGCAAACGGGAATAATAGTAATCAACATATTAATTGAACTGGAATATTTTGGCTTTATTTTTCATAGAGAGCGATTCATTGTGACATGGCTTGGAACTTCATTGTACATTATCGATCCTGTCTTAGGACGTCTGGTGGCCTGGTATAGCTTAGACACAGGTGATATAAAACTTACAGCAAATACTTTGTCTTTGTTGCTGTGAGGTATGGTCAATATGGGTATGGGTATTGAACTTGTGTTTTGGCGTAAGAATTGCTTTTCCAGACAGTCTCTAATAGTCTTTAACTGTGCTGTGTGTAAATAACGGTCTATGCTCTAAAGATATCAGTCTCTTCACTCAGGTCTATATAATGCCCCCATTGTACGGAGAAAACTTGTCCCGCCTAGAGGGGTCACTTGCCTAATCGAACTACCCTGGCTCAAGCCAACTTTTCATACATGTCCATACAAAACGAGGCAAACTGTTTACATGAGAATTTTGTGACTGACGGTTGGGTCACCCTCCTGTTTTTTAGAACTAAGAGCCTGTAGGTTTTATTTATTTTACTCTATTTTTTTAGAGTGAGAAGGCCCTAATGATTGAATTGTAACTTTTGGTTGTTTTTAGAGATACTAGACATCTGCTGTTTTGGTGCAGAGATTTATGTGTATCATGTTGATGGCTGTGTGAAATGGTTCGGGCTTCTGTCTGTCAAGGAATGTGTGTCAAAACTATATGAAATGGGAGAAATCAAACAGTGTCTAGAGGTGAGAATTTTGATTGATATCATTTTCAATTTCTTACAATCGCTTACGTCCAAGCGAGATAGACACTGAAATTAATTTTACTTTCTATTCTCTACTCTTACTACTACAGGTGCTACTTGACTGTAGACATTACATAATTCCTGGCTCGGCAAGAGATATGGTTCCAATTTCTATGGTTACCAACCTCAGGGAGAGCTTTGTCGAGGAAAATAGCGAGGAAGACCAGGTTTGAATAAAGATTGTGGTTGGTATAGACCAAATAATCTTTTTTTTCTTCCCCAAGCATCGTAACCAAGTATCAATTATAATATATCGAAATATGTCTATTCAGCTATTTTACGTGTTGTGCTAGGCTAGCCACTGAGCTAAAAATACAAGGTGAACAATGCTGGAAAGGTAGTCTTGAGTGAGAAGAGTACCACAGAAATGAACTTTTTAAGAGATTACAACTCATTGGTCGCAATTAAAAAAGGTGTTTTGAAACTTATAGTTCGGCTGAGGTGGTCAGAATTTCGGTGTTACTTCCACATTAACTTTTTCAACCATCCAGTGTAAGAAAAGTGAGTATGTACATCAGTATTGCTCAGTAGCTTTCTGATTTGAACGGTACACTGACACGAGTGTAACCACCTCGCACAGCACAATATCACGGGAAAGAACTGCTCATTGGCTTTTCTTTGAGCTGCATGCTACAGTTTAGGATTTTATCCACGGACTCAAAAGTTTGAACCACCTTGCTCAGCATAAGAAACAGTACCACAGGAAAGTACTGCTCACTGAAGCTGTCATTTGAATGGTCACACTTCAGGATTTCAGCAACTGACTCAAGTTAGACCATCTTGTACATTAAAGTAAATAGTACCACAGGAACGTAGTGTTCAGTAGGTTTCACTGATTTGAATGACCATAGTTAAGGATTTCACCCACAGTCTCAAAAGTTTGAACCACCTTGTACAGCATAATAAATAGTACCACAGGAAAGTACTGCTCAGTAGCTTTCATTTGAATGGTCGCACTTTAGGGTTTCATCCACGGACTCAAAAGTTTGAACCACCTTGCACAGAGTAATAAAAATTATTACTACAGTAAACTAAGAATCTAACGATTACTTTCATTCGCTTACAGGATGTTATTTATGAACTGCAAGAACTGGAGCGAGAAATGGAACTGCCAACAGAAGTGAGTGATAATCCACCAACTTACCTTGGCAACCTAGGTTTGATTGACAGCCCTGACACCCTAAGTACCTGCAGCGATGCTGTGAGTGATGATATAGATGTGTTATCCGCTGGCTCAAGAGAATTAGATGAAAGAAGTGATGATGGAGTAATGGGTAAAGCTGGTCTTCATAACAAACTAAAGAAAAAGTGGAGCGCTGATCTTTCTCTTGAGGGTATGCTACTATCTGCAGCAGCAGCAGCTAAGAGGTTTACAGCCGAGCGACAGCTGGGAATCAACAAGCTAAAAAGAACGCAATCCCCCGATACTTCCGCGACTGGAGATTTAGTTGCTGAGCCAAGCATAGAACGGAACCAAGAGGCTGGGAGTCCACAGAGAAAGCTTAGCTTTGAGTCTGAGGCATCTCAGGTTGCTGAAGGCATGAATGGTAAAGAAACGGTAGCTGAAGAGGAAAGTCCGCGTCTGCAGAAAAAAATGCCCGAGCAAAGTCCATGCCACTCTGACGACAGTGAATCGCGACAGTCCGGAAACGAAGGTGGAGTTGTTGAAGAAGAGTCCTTTGAAAAGTTAGTACAGTAGAAAAAAAAACTATCATTTTGTAACTTACCGGTAAACGAACAGTCGAAAACGAAAGTTTTCACGCCAATTGCAATCTTTTGTCAAACGATACTTTCGCATGAATTGAATTCCAAAAGTAATGGTCCAGTTTTGTTATTTAAGACTATAATATTTTAGGCATTGAAACTGTTTCCTGTCGTCTGTCGCTACGGATGGCAAGGATGGACATGGAATGAAACTTGTAAAAGCTGGGCCAACTTTTTCAAGTTTTAATGCTATACCTGCAAAAAATCGTCAATTTGTTTGATATTCAGCACAGAATTGACCTAAAACAGCCGTATCCTCAGACATATCACTTTAAGAACAAACATACAGTATGTTAGACGTAGTTAATCGATAAACCGATAATCGATAGTAATCGATATCAATCGCCGATTTCCAAAATCGATTGATAGAAATCGATAAAGAAAAAAAGTTGACCTTGATTAATATCGATGATGATTTTTTTTATCGATTAGTACGATTCCTATCGACTTTGTTAATTGATAATAATCGATAAATTATTTCTTCTGTGACTTCGATTTCTATCGATTTCCGATATCAATCGATATTAATCCGAGGATTAAATGGATTGATATCGATGATATCGATTGATTTCCGATATCGATTTTTATCGATTAACTACGCCTGGAGTATGTTCATATCGTTTACTGTTTCCTCAGGCGAAAACTGTAGTAGTATGGGCGCAAGAGAGAGCGTAACAGGCGGTTGAAAGTAATATTGGTGTCTACCTTGCGCGTGCCATTCTTGCTTGCGCCCATATTATATTCCTTCGCCTGTTTCCCAGGCAAAAATGTTTCTCACACGTATCAATGTTTCAACTATCAAAAATCAGTCAATCAACTAATCAATCCTTACTTCGTTGTAAGTAGTTTGCCCCGTTGCATAGATACGAACAATGTAATAAAATTATTTACGGCAGGAACTCTCCACAAACCGTTGAATAAACGAAACTTGTCTTAAGGCTAAAATAAAGGCTAGTGCGTGAAAGACTATTCGTGAAACTCAGTACAATAGTTATGAGGATTATTTCCAAGTCTTTCGAGGTTTCAGCAAGAAAAGTTACCCAGAGTCTCCACAAACCCTTTTAGGCTTAACGGAGGGGCCCCTATTATTTATAATTGTTAATTATTATTCAGTCAAAATATTTCCCCAATTCTGATTGGCTAAAAGCACACGCATAATTCACCATAACCAGTTACTGATGACCAAATTTGGAAGAATTTCGTGTTTAACGAGGAAATGACGTCAAAAATACAGCCCGCTACAGTTGTTTTGGTTGTGGAAAAAAAAATGGCGGACATTTCACTCGTTTCAAGAGTAAGAACTACCGCTGGAGGGCGACACTTGCTATTTGGAGAATATTTGCGGAGCTGGAAAAACCTAAACGTACACTATCGGCTTTCGTAGGATATGAAGAATTAAGCAGATCTCGGAGGGTGTTGGCCTCGGTGGATGACACCCTTCTCGATTTGCTTCATTCTTCATATCCTACTCAGCCTCATTCATTGATTGCTGAATAACTCATGTAGTGAAAAGGGACTTCGTATTATTACGGTTGTCATTTTTTTTTTAATCATATGTTCTTAACTTGCACTATAATTTGAACTGGCTGATCTTTCTTAATGTACGTTTTTTTAATTTGTTTTTAGAAAGGAGAAGTTGACTGCAAAAGACAAAAGAAAAAAGAAAAAGTCGAGAGTTGTAACCGTCGGTAAGTAACTGGTGTCAGTAACTTTGTTTTGTTTGTTTGTTTGTTTGTTTTTTTGGGAGGGGGGAGGCGGTGGTTTGTTTTTCTCTTCTACCCTGGGTCTCAGAGATTTTTTCTCAAGTGTGGCGGGATGCTTCGGTATCGGCCGCAGGCCACAACTGCGGTCAGAGGAATCAGCGAAGAAGCTTCTAGCGCGGGCGTCTTGACCGAAACCGGAAACCACGCATTTAACGTCTCTTGTACCCGGGGTAGGTTTGTTGTTTAACCTTATACCCAGCTCTCCAGCTGTAAATGCGACTCCCTAACTTGTTGCCGCTGTTTACTACTAGGATAGAAAAGTCATTTCACTTTTGTAAACGCATTCTTTCGTTTTCCGCTCCCGTTCACAAGTGAGTGATACAAAAGGTTCTCGTAACCTGAATTTTTTGAATGAACGATCTTCAGAGTAGATAATTGACTTTGTAAAGGGCTACTCCCTCTTCCACAGAGGCTCCCGCCAGGTAATCCAGTAAGATAGAATACAGTCGAACCTCTCTACAACAGCCATCTTGGGGACAGAAGAAAGTGGCCGTTATGGGGAGGAAGGGGTGTAACATGACAATTTTTTTAGGGAGTACAACATGTTTACTGTGCTGAGTTCATGCTTACTGTATCCTATAATAACAATCCAATCATATAAAAAAATATATAGAGATAAAAATACACGATAAAACTTGAATAGTGTTTTGAATCAAAATGTTAATGTGACGTATTATATCAAGTACGAGACGCAGCGTTTCATCACCAGATGAAACACTGAGAAGAGAGTTAAAAATACGACGCGCAGCGGAGTGTTTCTTACGAACTTCGAGGCGTTTCATCTGGTGATGAATCACTTTGTCAAATGCTTGATATTACTTCTCAAACAAAATGATTTTAGAAGTGGAAATTAAGGATGCAAAAATGAGCAGTTTTTCGTCTGATTTCCAAATTCTCATTAAACATTAATTTCCTTCGTATTTTCTTTATGAAAAAAAGAAGCAAGGTTCGCAACATTCGCAAAAAGTATCGTAGACAAATTATGCTTACTACAACAATATAAATGGAACACAATCAAAACAGTGTTGCTGCGATTAATCATCGATGTGCCATACGTATCAATTTCAGGACAATTCTTGACTTTTTTGTCAGTCACTGAAAAAACTGGCCGTGGTCGAGAGGCTATAGGGAGCTTAACCAACGACGACGGTGACGTCAACGAGAGCTGAAATGTAGCCGTTGTATCATCTAATTCGGACAGAAATCTGTTTTTAGGTTTTGATGTGGAAGGGTGCGTAGGATGCCCGCTTAATTGAGGTTCGACCGTAAATTATTTCAGATCGTCGTGAAAATTGTCGGAAGTTATAGCCAATATTAGATATCTTAAGACTGGATTACGAATCCGAGATTGAGTGGGGACACGATTGTTTAAACTAAATATTCTTGTGCCTTGTACATATTAGTAAGCAACAGTAAAGAGTCATAGTTCGAGGGATGCAACCATGGCCATGGTCGAACTTATTCTCGATTTCGTTCTGGTTGTCAATTATAAAGGTCGCTACCATACAAGTACAACTTACAGTAGTCTTTTCTCACAAATGCAGTCAAAGGGGGCGAGGGGCAAGAGAGGGAGAAATCATCTCATGGCCGCGAAAAGCTTTAAAAGTTAATTGTTGTTTTGCTGTTTTTGATTTTTAGATATTGACTCACCTCAGCTGAAACAAGGTAAATTTTGCTTGAGATGCATTGGCCTCGTTGAGGCTACACGTAGTTATCTTTTGTTGCTCTTATTCTTTGGGCACTTTGGTACAGGTATCGATCTGTTAATTACACAGCAGTAACTGTCACAACCCCGAGATGCGAACATATGTATATATTTTTTTTTTCACGAAAGGTTATAAGTCCAACTAAGCCATCATCACTAATTGCCATCATCACTGCTTACATCATGATCGTCATCATTATGATCATCATCATCGTCATTAACGACAACACGATCATCCTTATTGACATCACCATTCTCCGTATTTACTTACCTTTGTTTGTTAATTTCAGAGTTATTTTTGGATACTCCCGCTACAAGAAGCCCTTCTTTTCTTCGAACACACTCTTCAACGGGAGAAGTGGAGGTGATAAAGCTTCTTTCTTTCGTAGGATGAAATTATGCCTAGATAGACAACAGTTTTAAGCAGGTTTCGCCGCAGTTACAATTGGGTGGATGGATCAGTACAACCACCTTTCATTACTTTAAGTCTAAGCTGCAGTATGATGGTATCTAAGGATTAACAGTCACCCGTAAGCAAGTAATGATCTAGCGATTTACATGATAAGGTCACTTTGCCATTGTACTCAAGACTTGTTTGAGCGCTTTTGATTTAGACCTTCTTTTAAACATTTGGTACTGTTCAACTGTTTTCGTCTTGACGCGAGACACCTTTTTGCGATCAAGTCATAAAGTGTCACGGGTTGTTCATATTGCCAACGAGTCCTTATTTGCGGTTGAACTTGAGAAATTACTTTTTAATGAGGAAAGCACAGCTCTTTGTCAAACAAAATATATCTCCAAAGCATTATATCAATCGTTACAAACAACAAAAATGAACTTTGTAAAACTTTTATGCTAACACGTTTTCATAAACGACAATTGCAATCCGTTTTAATCCTCTTCAGGTTTCTCCTTCCATTTTTGAAATTGCTGAATGATTTATACCTTCTAATTTTTTGAGCAGTTGTTGTTATGTTTCACTCAATTTGGTGACAATTCCCTCCGTCTGAATTTTGATAAATTTCGTGACACCCCCTTTAATCGGAGGAATGTTTTCATTGTTTTTGTTTTTTTTTTCGTGAACAAATCTAGACGAGCAGTAGACGTTTGTCAGAACCTGTGAGTCCTCTACAAACAGAGTTATCGCCCGCTATACCTTCCATATTATCTAAAGCGAAGGGACTGCTTATAAAGAAACTCAAACCATCATCTGAAGATCAGTCACCTTCGCCTTCCTCATCACTGTCTCCCATTACACCATCTGACGAGAATGCTGTGCTTTATACAGAGGAAGAGATGGAGGAAATTAAGCTTCCGAAAGAAGTTGCGGAACTGATTGAGTGTTCCTCTAAGGCACGGTAAGTCATTGCAGTTAGCTCTGGAAAAACGGTGACAGCGATTTAAGAATGTTAAGACCTCTGTAAGGTGGAAACTGGTAGTGCAGTGAATCGGCTCTGTAGAGCAGACACATCTGAAGTGCAGACATACCAGGCCAAAGCTTGGATAACTCTTTCCATCGGATAAATCGCTAGGAAGTGGATTAGTGTTAGGGAAACCAGTGGGAAAACTAATTACGCTGTCCAGTGGATAGAGATTTATCCAGGGGAAGACACCACTGTAGGACAGTCTCCTCTTGAGGGCACACACCTCTTTTAGACAGTCAACTCTGTAGGACAGTCACCTCCTCTGTGACACAGACATCACTGGAAGGTAGACATTGTGGTAGGGCAGTCATCTCTGTAGGGCAGACGCCCCTCTAGAGCATACAACCCTGTAATGTAGACACTTCTGAAAAGCAGTCACTAGTGGCTGTGACGTAACACTAGGCAAAGTGGACGCTTACATACGGGGACATATAGTTGCAGTCCCGAGGGGTTGTAATTGAGATGGAAGTTCACGGTATTTATTTATAAATGACTTGAATGTTTCTCCTTTAACGTGTCATGGAAGTGCGAAATAAAACCAAACAAAATGCAAACTGATGTACTTACATCAGCGGCCTTTCCTTTTCAGGTGTGACGTGAAAAACCCAGTTGTCCTCTTTAGTGTCACCAGTCTATGCCGCGTCTTAGGGGAATGGATCCCAAAACTTCATGAGGCCATGAAAAGCTGTTTAGAGATGACGGAAAGAGATGACAGTGGAAGTAACGACAATGGCTTGAAACGTTTCCTAAGTGCAACTGCTTTTGAGGATGTGTCATATCTAGCACAAATGTGTTTTGATTGTGGTGTTTATGGAAGCGAAGGTTTGCGGTCTTTTGAGGATGATGTCAGAAGCAAAGGAACTACCACCAAGACACCATTATGTGATTTCCCGGTGGAACAAGATAAATCGGAAACTAATGATGTGGTTATTTTATTTTGCGATGATACTAATAAACCGGAATCTAATAGAGAATCAGATAAATTAGCTTCAGAAAGTATCCCAACTTCGCATGGTGATGTGAGGGCAACAACATCAAGTGAGGGTCATTTGCCCTCAGCTGGGACCAACCCATCTTCACTGAGGACGGGCGAATTTTCGCCTCCATCCATACGTATAAGTGTTGTCAAGGATGAAAACTTCGATGCAGAGACGGTAGACGAAGAGTCTGGTGAGAATACTTTAGATACATTGGGTGAAAGTGCGAACCGTCAAACTGACAAACCATTAAACAGAATGCTTGGTGATTTGAATAATTCACCGCAAAGCTCTGCTGATGAAACTGTTTCCTCGCCTACAGAAATGTCGAAAAATGCCATACTATCACAGGATAGTTCAAGTGGTTTGCAGTCATTGCAAAGTTGTGAGCGAATTTGCGTGCAGTGTGAAAATGGAACTACATTTTTCGAGAACAACGGAAAGCAGGTTTACGATACAAATTTTAATGATGAAACTCGCTCCAGATTCTTGTCCTACCATTTCTGGCTGATGGACGTCAGACGGCTTAGGCGCGCACTCCTCATGAGTAAGGGCGAAAGAAAGAAAACGTGGAGCACCTTTATGGATTGTCTGTCAGGTGAGTGATGAGTACAACGCTGTTGTACTGGCAAAGCAAACTCTCAAACTTCCATGCTAATATCATCCGGTCCCTCAAGAGAAGGTAGTGAATAGAATTAACATATCGATCGTCTGTGATTCCCTTACTTAACAAGTAAAGTCAAACCTAGCGGTCAACCTGTATATTACGGTAACCGGACATCTTCCCTAAATTTTCAGTTGCCTTACATTTTCTACAAAGTTGACCTGTTGCCATTTCCCATGGGTGACCGTTGTAGACAGGCTTGACTGTAGTGAAGAAAACTTACGCTTTATTTCGAAAAATCTTTTATCCTCTAGCAGCTTATTTTCTACTTTTACGTCAGTTCAGTGAGTATTGTGAAAGCAGTATTACGTGAAGTGAACTAAACCATTTTCCGATGAACTGTTTACCCATTGCAATAAGTTTCCCCTCTTTTCATTTCTTCGTTCGTTAAAAAAGACAGACGGAAATTTGGCTGCCATGAGTCGAATTTTCCCCTCTTTGGCAGACAGGACCTGCAACAAAAAGGCCACTAGATTAGGATTCAAATTTTCCGACGTTTGACGCAAAAAAACGCTTCACGTTAAGTGTCTAACGTGATTCATTCTCTAAGTGGGTTGAGTATGATCGTCCGGGTGAACGACGTCCTAAATAGGACTGTTGTTGTTGACAGCGACTGACGTTGCCACAACCTGTGCGGTAGTCATCTTCAGAGTCAAAGTGAGTTGTATCACGTCTGTTCATAGTATTAAACTCTGGGTATTGACCTGAGTGGTCAATTAAGTCGCGATGTTATTGGTCGTTTGTCAGTTAAGCCGTGATGTTGTTGGCTATGGAGACTCGTAATATCATTGGTGCGTTTCGATCCGTCTATTGTCACAGTGAACAGTCGTTTATTGTTAGTCAAATTGTCGGTTGACCAGTCATTTTCCGTAGTTTAGCTTGAGTCGGTCAATAAGTCGTTTGTACGGTGCCGGTAACTGTTGACTATGATTCAGTGGCGTAGTAAACCAGCTTTCTCAAGTGGTCGTTTCTAAAGTGAGTCGTCAAATCGACTGGGACTCTGCGACATGTATTTCGTATTCTACAGACTTCTATCAACGACACACTTTAGAAAGCTCATCCACTAATGTAGAACAAATGCCGGACAATCATACTCACCCTACTTATGAAATGACTCGTGAGTTTAAACCTTTCACAGTTTCTGAGTTATTCTATGATATTGATATTGTTGGAGTCCTTAGGTGCTACTCAAATGAGAGGTCATTAGCTTCTCATTATTCTACCGCTTTGAAATCCTATTTCAGTATACCGTATTTCACTATTTCAGGCCGTTATTCTCTGCCCTTTTAGGTCTTGTATCCCCCTATGACGTTATCGCCAAATACATCAAAGAAGGGGACGCTCGTCGAGCTCTTCACGAACTGCATGATGGGATGGATAAGTACTGTGACGTGTTGCTCTTTCATCTTACTTGGTAAGATGAACCACTCCTACAGACCTCGCTATAAGATCGTCTTAAATATATTCTTTCTTTTAAAACCAAGTCGGCATTTCCAAAATGCGAACACCTCGTAAGTCGTTCTCTTGGCCCCAAAGATATATGTTTTCATGCAATCCCTACCTCTATAATATGCACGCCTGGAATATGAACGATAAAACGACTATGCTGTAACAATCTTGTCGACAAAATCCTATCTTGTGTTATCATTAAAGTAAAACCTCTTTCGCAGAACTATAAGTACGTATTTATTTCTCAGGATTTTCAAAAAAAATTCGTATTTTGAAGGAATGTCTTCCTTGAAAGATTGAAAGAGAAGCAGGCTGTACTGTAATAGAAAAAGTAACTTGTGAACAATAATTACCTACTGTGGAGGTCAAAAGAGTGTTGGGACCTTTCTAGTAGTATTAGTAAAACTGGCGACCTCTCCCCTCCCACCCCAAACAATGTTGAAGTTTGAGCAAAATGAGTGGATTGCAACATTGGTGGAAGGAGTAGGGGATGAAGGATGGACCCAAAGCCGATCAATAAAATTAGCAATAGGAGTAGTCTTATGTTACAATTATTTGGAAGGGAGCAAGGCCTGTATGATTTTTAAACTATCTTATCTTTCATCCATTCTTGTCCGTTGTTTCTTTTTAATTACTCCCTGTCTCCTGCTTTTAATTTACAGCTTGTATGAAAACGACAGTCGCGAGACAATGTTGACTTGCGCTAGAATGTTCCCTGATGTGCAGCCGTGGGAAGTTATGGAGATTTGTCGGCATTGCAAGTTACATAGCCTAGAATCCACTTCAGCTGATTTTGTGTTTTATGTTGAACAACTAATGAGGTGGAGAACGGAAGTTGGAAATACTAGGTTAGTCATGTTTGATATACAACATAATAAACAGTTCGACCAGAATGAATTACCCAGTAGCTTTCATTTAAATAGTCAAGCTTTACGATAATTAGAACCACCTCGTTCAATGCAATAAACAGTACCGCAGGAAAGTACTACGTAGCTTTTATTTGAATGATCGCACTTTAGGATTTCATCCACAGCATAGTCGGATTTCATTTGTGTTAGGGAACTCAAATGGTTTTTATCTTACATATAAACAGCGATAGCTTTCCGTATCCATAGAGGAAAATGGTAAAAACCAACGTCACACACCTCAACTAGGTACATGCAGTAAATGATAATTTTTCTTGTTATACTTTTTTGCTTTGTAGACAGCAGACTGTTAGGAAGCTTTGTGAAGATATGAGAGTCACAAATTGGTGGTTTCACTGCTCCTTGATTGCAGATTCTACAAAAGAAGCCTTGCACTGTCAGCAGTGTGGAAAACCAAGGTCAAAAAACTTATCCTAACTTATCCTAACTTATCCTTCAGTTAAATAGTTGTTGTTGTAAAGAGCAATTTTACAAATTAATTGAAAGTTATTTTATACACGAAAATCCCATCGCCCTGACTAGAGTTGCTGTCGAGCTAAATGTAGCCTGTTCCAGGCTCCGAGATGAGGCTGTCCGATATAGTCGGGTCTGCGGAATTGAGAAAGCGCGAACACGAAAATAAAACGGGAGGAAACTTTTCCCTGATCACGCGCTTATATTTTCGCTTGCCTTTCATTTACGCATCATGGAACAGGCTAAGCTAAATAATGCGTAGTACGCTAATGGTCGAAAACGTGTTATCAAGAATTAACACTTTCAAAATATTTCTTATCTTGAAAAGATGTTTTCTGCGATGCCTCACTCAATTTTGGTTATTTTAGGTGGAAGAGACACAATTTTGCCTCCGAAATTTCTTTGTAATCAAATGCCCACAGATATAAACAAGACTGGATAAAAATTTGTCAGCGAAAGGACGTAGAAAATAAAACAAGGTGTTAAATTTAGGATTTCAAGAAAGAAATAAATTACAGTTTCGAATTGCGAATTTAAATTGTAGTTTTCCAAAGTTTATAGATGACGCCGGTCTCGTTCATTTCAAGATCATAACGCTATTATTAGTTTTTGTTGTCTTTTAGTCTCCCTTTGTGTTTCAGTTTTTTGTGAATAATTTGATGCTCCAAAGTGGATTCATTTCCCGTATTTGCTCCTTTGTTTGAGAAGAGCTACTGGCTAAAGTTGCCAGTCAGCCTCGTACCCAGGCCAGTTCGCCCTATCCGACAAGTATGACGGGTGACATCACACCTGAAATCGTCGGGGACGACTAGGAACGAGGCTGGTTGCCAGCAGGACGGCGACGGCGAAGAAAACGTGACTTAGAAAAGTGGCGCAGAAAATGTGACTTAAAATTGACTCACTCAGTTTGTCAAATGTAGACGGACTCTCCTGGAGTTGAATTCCTAAGAAAATTTAACAGAGAGAGAGAAATTCGTTCTCCCTAGTTTACGTACTCGAAAAAAAAATGGGAAAAAAGGCAGTTTCGCATCGTAGTCGTGCAGTCACGGCAAAGAAATGTACCAAAAAGGTGCTGCGTGTGTAAAGTTTTTCAACGTTCTTGCTGTCGAAGCCGTCTTGACACCTAAAACTCCCTTGTTCGTACTCCAGGTGAATGGTGGTGATACAAGTTCACCTCAGCACCCCTTGACATACTTGGTTGAAAGAGACAATGTGAAATTAACCCAATAAAACGAGGGTATGGCGAGGACTGGTACCCAGACGGAGGGATCTGAAGTAATACTGTCTTTTGTCTTTTTGTGAATGTAGACCTGGCTCACACACGATCACGTGGCAAAATGAGGACCATTTGCAGCAACTTATTGATTTTCTTTGTCAGAAAGATTCGTCAGAGCTCAAGGTTTTCATGGATTTGTGCTGGAACCACGGGTAAGTAAAAACAAATCCAATTTCGCGACTCAATTCGTATAGCATACGGTTAGCTGCTCGTTTTCAGGCCATTTCTGCTCTTAGTGCCCTTGGCCAAGCTTTATGCAAGCTAGTAGGCAAAATTCTTCAGAATGCTTGGAAATGTTGATGGTTTACACGCTTGCTTTTGAGCACTTTAAAAACTTCAATGCTTTAGATACACCTGGGACATGAAAGAGAAATTCGTATATTTTAACTGCGGAAGTAAAGATTGAAGGTTCAAAAGAAGGAAAAAAAGCTCAGTCATATAAACAACTTCTGCGCCTGGAAGAATCACACTTGTGGTGGCGACTTTGATAAAGAGAAGCCGGCAATACTTAAAAGTTAGAAAGAAAAACTGATAAACTAGTGGCCATTGTATCCAGGTCTTACTTCAAACAGTAAGAGCTATTTCCACGGAGAAAATTAATCTAATTGGCGAAGATCCTTTTTATTATTTTTTTTTTCTTCTACACTTATGTCAAGAAGGCATATAACACTCGCTAGAAAATAGCTATTTCAAATGGCTTACCTACAAGGTAGCCTGCTCCGCAGACGAAACTAAAAGTCCATCTGCAAGAGACAGCGCCCAAATCCTTGTTTCGTTGTTTTGGGGGCCCTGCTGTGTACCAAGATTTGAGAACGCGCCACGACCGGCCCGTTAAAAAAGTTACTGTTCGATTGGCCAATCAGGTTGAAGGGAAATTTCATTCCATTGAACTTCCGGTAATTTGTTGTCTTTTGTGGGCCCAGAACGAGGACCTTTGAGCAACTTCCCAGACGTTAATATCCGTAGCTTGAAGAAACAGCCGACATTTCGCGACGTTACCACTGCTAACCCCGCGAAATGACGTCTCAGGAACGTGAGAAGAAATTCCATACTGATGACTTGTCTCTACCTACATTTGGATAGTGCTTCTGATTGGTTGTGCTGCGAAGGATATTTGCTTAAACCAATCAGAAGCACTACCCAGCCAGATTTGGGTGGTGACACGGCATCAGTGTGGAATGTTTGCTGTCGATCCTCACACGCTATTTCGCGGGAAAACGAGGGATGGTGTCTCGAAGTGTCGCCTGTTTTGTCAGGTTATACTAAACGGGGTTAGATTACGTTTACGAGGTAGGCTTCCTTATATACAAGGCTGTGTGGATGAAGGTCTATTGAGCCTTCTGTCCTACCGCCGTTTGAGACAGGCTTTGTTCACTTACACGACCTCCATGTGTTATTAACGGTTTCTTTAGGTACTGGTCAGGTCTAATTCGTCTTTGTGTGCGGACCGGTCTAAGACAGGAAGCACTAAAACTAGTCGTCTCGTTAAGTGACATGAAGCTGATCAAGAATCCACAGTCATGGGGTAGGTAAAGTACAATGACCTCAAATTCTTAAAGGGCAAAACATAATCAAAGATTGTAGTCTTTTTTACAAAAGCTATGCCTTCGCTCCCAAAGAATGAATGAGAAACTGGAGTATCCGGAATCTGTACATGCTTAGGTTAAATCCTTATTTTACGTTTAAACTCGCAAGCCTTATCATGGGATATGCAGTAAGCTCCAGCCTGCTTGCATGTAGACAGTCCTTCCTACTTTTTCACATAGTTCTTGTTGTAATACATTTGTGGTGTGAAATTTTAACTGCCGTTGTTTGTAACTCGTAAAATTCATCTCTTCTATCCTTTTTCTGCTCTTTTGTCAAGGACTCCTCCCCAAGTCTTTGGATGAATGGAAATATTTGTTGGAGTTGCTTTTATCACGTGACCAGGACAACGAAGTATCATTTAGCACCGCTCACACATGCACAACTCTGGCTGCTTCTGATTGGCTAGCAGATCTGACGTGGAGTAACGTGACCAGTCTGATGCTTGAGCGGTTGGGCGCTGGGCATACTGTCAACATACTGCAGGCTCTGCCACAGGAAACCCCACTTCTCTCAACGGATTTCTACTATTCATGTTTATTAGGAGCTGTAGTCGAAAGAAGGCAAAGGTAAAAACCGCTATGTTTATAACAAGTTACACAAGAGGCAAGAAACAAAGTGTATTTCAGAAAAAATAGTTCATTGTGGAATTTGGCCAAAAAGTAAACCGCTTTCCGAACGTAATTTACGCTTATAAATATCATCTGCAGATAAGTTCTCAACTATTTATTCTAAACGAAGTACCATGATTCCAGTAATCGCCTTTGATCGGTCTTTTAGTAAAGGTATTTTGTATGATAGTTTCTGATTGTGTAAGAAAATCCCTCACGTACTGTAAACGAAACCAGCCACTGATGTCTGCGTTAGGTACGCGGTAAAGGAATGTATAGAAAGGTGCATTGTTTGAAGTGTGATCTTTGCCAAGCTGTTATCTGGAAAGAAACGCGATGGAACACTTCAATCTAACTGCCGAATTAGGAGTTGCGTGACAGCACACGCCTTTTTTGGATGAGATGGAGTTTGGCCAGTTTATTGACTTCTCTTTGTTATACATTATATTTACAGGACTCTGATTCATGAGCTGCTTAAAAAGCTCGACTCATATTTGTGGTCACAACGAAGCGGTGCCTTGGCTCCAAAGGTATGAGAAAGACATTTGCTTAAAGCAACTTGATCTTCCAGTAATACTGAGTAGTTATTCAGAAATGGTTTATCGCTCAGTAACACTTTTACTAACAGTTATTGTAGAAACGGATCACGACGGACTCATATGAACTTATTGTTTGCAACTTTATTTGTGAACGTCGAAAACCCACAAATTTTGCCTCAAAAAATCATACTAAATCGAAGACTTGTACATGGTCGCCCTCGTGGCTGTAGGTGGTTTTCTGATGATGAAAAATTACAGGCACAACTACCTAAGTTCTCAATAACAATCACTCTGAAACCTAAAAGGAAAGAAAAAGGAGAGGGCTAAACCATAAAGAGGCTGACTTACAGAACTGTTCGGCATCAAAGTTGCTAACAATGTCCTCGCTAACGATAACACAGAACTAGACACAGAACATAACAAGCAAAAAATGTCCAAAGTCACTTGACGGACGAAAACAAAAAAATACTCCTAAAAAACTCCTCCCCAATCTTCTCTCATCCCAAAGAACACTTAAATAGCGACTGGGTACGAGTCTGCTTCCAGGGAGAGACGTCTGTGCCGAAACGACAGAAAATCCATACTGATGACGTAAATCAATGTTTACATAATTAGTCTATAGTCATAGGGCTACAAATCCAAATTTGCTCGAGTTTATGTTTCTCCCGCTCTATTATCGTATTAAAAGTTATGATTTCTTTTGCGAACAAGGGAGAACTAACTACAAGCGCTTCTTCTAGAGAAGTATACAGTCAACGAATATTAACTATTTTGTAGAAGATCCATCGCGTTCACATTTTACCTTTTATTAAAACCTTTTGCCTTTTGTCTGTTATTCGTAAACAATAGCTAAAATATTCTGTTCCGATTCTCGACAGTTATTATTTCATCAGTATAGCATTTCTGTCGTTGAGGTGGAGACTTCGAGGAGCGAGTAGTGACGGCAGTATTCATAAGCTAGTTGAAAACACTATCCACTGGTTTGGTGTATCCTACTTATACGCGCTTTTCTTTGTAGTTGAACAGTTTTCGCAAAGAGGAGGAAATATGGGGTCCCAAAAGCAAGGTAACACTGACAGTAAACGCCTATGTTAATGTTACACGGGACGATTCGCAACGACGATTTTTAGCGCAAAACAGCGTTGCAATGTTGGAACAATGTTGTAACCATTCGAAACAATGTCGCAACAATGTTGCAAAGCTGTGTTGCGCTAAAAATCGACGTTGCGAATCGTCTCGTGTAAAGCAGTGTTGCGCTAAAAATCGACGTTGCAAATCGTCTCGTGTAACATCACCTTTAGTTTGAAATGTCATCCGCTCTTCGACCAACTCCCCAACGGGCAACAAGGCGCAGAGAGTCTCTCAAGTCTCTCCCGCCTCGCCGCTCGTTGAGGGGTGTGGCGAAGATACGGGTGACATTTCAGACTACTGCAGCGTCCTTGAATTGACCTTTAAGTGGAGATTTGACCAGTGATGGTATAACATCTTCACGTTATTGTTTACCTTTAACAGGAGAATATTAAGCCTCAACTGGATTCCTTCTCACAGTTTAGAACTCTTGAGGATGGAGGTAACTTTGTTAATTTTTGTTATGGGATTTTATTGTTTCTTATTTGATTATTTTATTTGTTGACTTCTTATTTTTATTTTATTCTTATTTGATGGTTTCTCACTTTGAGGAACAAGGATTAGTAAGGTTACCGAGCGGCCTTTTTTTCGGGGATTTTCCGAGTTCGATCCCCACATGTAACCTTAAAACTTTGTTTTCACTTCTTTCCTTTCCGTGTAGCTTTTAAAAATACTCGTAGAATGGGGGCGACCTGCACCTATTCTAAACAAGGTTTTTGATTGGCTGGGAAAACAATAGGAATGGTGACATAACAATGCCCCTATTCCTGAAAACAATAGGTACTGAAGGTTATAGGGACCAATCAAATAGGAAGTTTGGATGGGTGCAGGTCAGTCGTAAAATGGAGCACTGATAGAGAGACGGGGGGGAGGGGGGGAGGGTAAAAGGAGTGACCAGTCGGCCCCATGTGTGTCAGTCTAATGAGTACTGTGACGAGTTACGGACGTAACGTTGGGTTTACCCTTTTTTCTTTTCCTTTTTACTCACTAAGATGTATTTTGTTTTCTTCTTTAGCGTCGAACTGGGGGCAAAACATTCGCCTCTCAGAGTAAGTCACCTAATATTTTACCCCGTGGCTTCGTCATTCGCCGTTTCCCCTCCTCAACAGAAACCCCAGCTACACCAGCTTGATCTAACTGGAAGTCGGAGTTTGTCTGTTTAGCGTTAGTTTTCATGCCTAGCCCGAGGCGATAATTTTGCAAGAATCCATCTGTCCAGTTTCCCAAGTGGACATGCGGTATTATTGTTTTGCGTTTCAGATCAAGTCTTCTAGATAATGGCAATATATTGCTTATAATCTCCTTCTCTCCTCCTCCCTCCCGTACATGTTCCATGCGTTCAGATAGTGGAGAGTAGCGCGAAATGGAGAGTGGAGGGAAAAAACGGAAGTTGAACCTCTCTACCTGCCCAACCCCTCACTGTATTTTTCCAGCTCACTTTCCTTGTAACTGCCAACTGTTACCCTCTCTATAAAATTAAATTCTCCGAAATCTCCGCTCGACTTCTACTCGTCGTTCCTTTGCGCCCTCCCCGCTATATGAAAGCCCCGAACAGGCTACGCCTATGTAATCTCAGGCAGAGGAGACTTACCGTCGAGATGTTCCCTTAGATAACAACATTGTAGACCCTGAGATGCTTGATGATGATGATGATAAACTTTATTCATGTGTCGATGTATTTAGCTGAGGCTAATTGGTGACACAACGTAAAGATAAAATAAATGATGAATAATATGATAAATAAAAGATAAGAAATAAAAAAGCTATAAAAAAAAGCTATAGTATAATCCTATATATATTACATATACATTTACAATATGCTAAAATAATCAAAACAATTCTAGGAACACGGGCACAACTTAAGAGGTACAAATTTATTTGCTTGGTGAGGTTGAGAAACATTTACGAGTACATGTACAAGTGCCATCAGTTCCTTTGGGGTTTGCGTTGTTTGCACTGGAACGTGACAGGAAGCTGTGAGGCAGTATGTGTGCAGTGGGCTTTTTTAAGCGCTATTTAGAGGTTATTAAATCCAATTCGTGGTAAAATTTGTGATGATCTTCTTTTTCGTAGCGGCGAATGTTTGGTGTGCTCACTTAAGCTGTGTGAACAAATCTCGACAAGCAATCAAGGACTGTTGATGTTTGAGTGCGGTAAGTAAGGCAAGCCATTTTGCCCTTTCTAGCGTTGCTTTTCTCACTGTTACCATCCAAATGAAAGGCACTGAGTATGACTGTCCTGTGTTACTGTTTATTACGCTGTACAAGCTCGCTCTAACTTTTCAGTCTGTGGGTGATACCCAAAAGTGAACGCCACTGAGGATTACTTTCCTCTGGTACTGTTTATTACGCTGTAGAGGCTGAGTCCAACTTAGTTTTGAGTCTGGATGAAATCATCCCTTGTGAACGTTCAGGTGATAGCTACTAACCAGTTATTTTCTGTGGTACTGTTTGTTATGTTGCACAAAGCGATTCTTACTTGTTAGTCTATGGATGAAGTCATCAAGTGAAATCTTTCAAATGACAGTTACTGAGCAGTACTTTCCTGTGGTATAAACTTGCCTTACGAGTCATCAAGGCGTGATAGTATATTTTACACAGACAAACATGTATCCCTCAACCCCCCCCCCCCCCCCCCCCCCCCCCCCCCTCCACCCCAAACACAAGAACACAAACAAAAAAACACACATTAATACTCATCCCCTACCATTATCCCTTATCCACGGTCTCGTCTAATCGGTGTCTTTTGCTCTTCATTTTTTCT